CCACTCGTTTCACGGCCGATCAAGAAAAGAGTGTAGCGCGAGACCTAAGCCATGCAACTGCCATGTTCCGAACTGTGCCATGCTCGGAGGGCAGGGTAGAGAACATGGGAGCAGTGCCTCAAGAGAACGACAAAAGTTGTAGACTGTTATTGCTTTATAAGATAATATCTACAAAAGTACACGTACTGAGGCAGAAGGCAGGTGAAGGCAGAACGTTTGCTGGTATTTATCCTAATGCAGAAGTGGATATGATGACGTTCAATACACAGGTACAGCAAAAGGTGTCATGTCCACTCTTTGGGCTGGAAACTGGACTGCTGAATCTTAGCCCCCAAGCTCTCGCCCTACAGTACGCTGACCGGGGGGGCCGGGGTTCGGAGCCCGGGAGCGCTTCATCGCCCGAACGCCGCGGTCGAGGCCGTCGCGAAGCTGCTGTCGATCTTTTGGAAAGCCCGGGAGCCGCGGGCGTTTCGCACGCGTACGCGTTTCCAGCGCGGTGCACGGCGTGCGAATGCCCGCACAGGTTCAGGGACATGGGATCCGGGATGGTAGGGGGGTGGAGGAAGAGGGTGTTCATGCGATGCGAGCAACAGGGAAAGACCCTGTGTGATTCATGCAGTGGGCGAACCTTGTGTTATTGGTACCCACAGCCCACAGCTGTCATTTCACCCGCCTTGCCGGGCTGTTGTACACTGGTGCTCCGTCAGGCTCCACTGCGGCGCTTCGGTTTTAGCATCGACGGGCATGGCTTCCCGCACCTACTGCAAGTGGTCAAGGTGATGGGCGGTTTGATGCGGATTGGTCGTGAGTCGGAGTCGTGAGGTTTTTAGGAGGCATCCAGTGATTTCCCTGGCAGCCGCGCTCAACCTTAAGGCTTGCCTTCTAACCAGCGGGACTTGGCGTACTTTGGATGCGTGAAGGTGTGGATTGGATTTGGTGCACCTGTTTCTCACATGGTGCACCTTTTGGGCACCTGGTGCGAGTGGATTTGGTGTCTTCCTATCCGAAGTCAAGGCAGTTTGCCTGGATTCTTTCACGCACAGACCTGCACGAGCGCAGGAGACCGAACAACAGACTTCACAAAGCAACGGAAAGTATTCATTCCGATTCTGAAGAGTGGGCAGGACATTGGGGATTCTTTGTGGATTGAAGAACTCGACATTCAGACCATGCCTTTTAGTCGGACCAAGCAGGATGTCCTACATTTTTGTTTTTATGGGATGGGATGAACGTCGGATGAGGTGACATGTGACTCAAGTGACTCCTGTGACGGACCTGTGACCGACCAAAACCTTGGCTGGGACACAGGCTGTCCCGGGCTGTCCCAGTGAGGGGTTGTGGGGTTGCTCACGTTTTCCACCCCCTTTCTTTTACTACGCGAAGGGAATTGCGCCGGAGTGAATCGAGTCATCGTCTTGCGGCATGGGCACCGCCGCTGGGCTCAAAGGGTGAGGTCCAACGTGGTTCCGTGGCTGGACAGGCGAGGGGAACTGCTGTGATGTGGTGTTGCGTGTTGGGTGGAGAGAAGGTACTGGAAGGTACTGGAAGGTGCTGTTGGGCATGTTCTTCTCTTTCGAAGACTGATCGAGACACTTTCTACAGGGTCATCCCTTTGTTGAGATGTGGTTGAGCTTTTGAAGGCCTTGATTTGCGGCTCAACTCCTAGGCCCTAGGCTGTAGGTGCCATGAAGTACTGTGAAGCACATCGTTTTTCTCTCAAGACATGTTGGAAAAGATGTCAATCTTGTGTGACGATCTCTTGTGAAATAAAGAAGATCCGGGGTCCAGGCATAGTAACTCTAGGCTTCCAACCACCATTGATTTAATAGCCTTTGCCGAGCATCCATTGTTTTGCCAAGGATTTACACTATGAAACCAGCTCAACCAGTTTAAGCACAGTCTTGGAAGGCTAGGGTCGTCCCCAAACCATCGACTCCTTGCGCTCCTTGCGCCCAAACCACGATCGCACCGATCGCAGCCCGGATGCTCCGCAAGGCCCCCCCGGATGCCCCAGACCGTCCGGCCCATGCGGTCTGCCCTCGTCGGACTGGCCGGGGCCGCCGAGACTAGTCGGGCGAACCGGGAGAACCACCCGTCGAAGCGACCCGTCGGGCGGTTTCACGACACGGTTGGGGCGACTTCAATGATGGTTGTTTTTTCTGTTTCTCCATTGATTGGAACTCCCGTTCTCACAAGATGAGTTTTTATTCATGATGATGTTCCTGTCCACCACCTCAGAAGATGGCAATCTGGCTCCAAGGTTTTATCTACGATTGACCATTGTTGCATATTGTTGCATATCATGAGATATTGATTTATCCAAAAGATCGGAGCCATTGACGATATTCACTTGATGATTCCCTCTACGATTGCAATCTGGCGATTGTTTTATCTCTATAATTTCCAAACAGCAATTATCACAAGTGCCTGGCCATGAGACCAGGGCATCTCCTAGCGATGGTCGTAGCGATGGTAATGTTCAACTCGAACCTTTCTAGTTGTGCCTCCAACAATTCCTTCAAAAAGCTACCGGTTGAATCTGCACAAGTGCAGAGTTTCTAAACTTGGACTTGGACCATTGGATCCCGAGCGATGATTCCTTCTCATCCTTTGTCGGCTTTGTTTGGACACCCTGGCAACAGCTTTCCTGTTGTGACACACAGTATGTTCTCTTCATCATTGGGTGCAAACTGAAGGCGAATCCGAGACCGCAGGTCCTTCCGTTCTTCTACCCTGTTAGACCTCGCCTGCCGGGTGGGAGGTCTTCAGCCTCCAACTGGCCAATGGCTACGAGGCGGGAACCGCACCCGCACCCGCACGGATCCGCGGGGAACACCCGGCGGTCACGCCGCCGGCCACCGATCGGACACGGTCGGCGACACGTCGGTGGCGCGGGTTTGTCACCACAGCCCACGGGTTCCGGCGGTCCCACGGGTTCCGTACAGTTGACAGGAGGCTTCGGACGTGATGATGGGCAAGAAGATTAATGAGTGGGAGGCCCGGGAGCCTGGAGCCTCGATCGAGGCCCGGGGGCAGGCGGAAGAAGGTGTGGTGTGAGCGCAGCGCGAAAAGAAAGGACCGTGTCCAGACGTCTGTCTAAAATGGGAAGCAACAGACTTGGCACGTTTTTAGCACGGAAGGGGGGGGACATATGAGACCCCCGAGTCCCCAAAGAACGGTTCTTCACGCTGGCCAGGGCTATCTCGCCTTGGTATGGTCTTGGTATGTCGGACCAGCCCTCACGGGTCGCAGCTGTTTATTTGGTCAAGACCTCCCGCCATCCCAGCTCGACGGATCCACTCCGTCTCGCGAAAACAACTCCGCGCCCCAGGCGTTTGGCCAGGCCGGTGTCGCAGCGGTCGACTGGGATCGGGGTTGGAATGTTCTCCCTAAAGGTGGACAGGTGGAACCCCACTTGTGGGGTAAAGCCTGTGCACCTCCACCTCAGACTCCGCAGATGATCCGAGCTCGCTCTTCCAGCGAACAGCACCGCTCCGGACCGCGCGGACCCGGACCGCGTGCGCGCGCGACCCCGACGCGGGTGAGGCGTCCATGAGCTCCACGGCGGCTTCCACGTGGTACGAGAGGCTCCCCAACGTCATCGTCCTGGACCCGTCCATGACCCTGGACGTGCTGCAGGCGATGAAATGAGGGGCGCGTTTTGGGGCGGGGGAAACGCGCGTGGCGACGGCCGGAAACGGGACGGGGCGGGGACCGGGCAAAGCCGTATGTAGATCGCTTCTGAACGAGGTGTGGGCACGACCTCGAAATCAAAGGGGCACTGGTGTTGAATACCAAGCAACATGCAATTTTGCCTTGAAGCTCCGGATCTGGTTCATTTACATGGTTTTTTTCCAGGTGGTCTACTCTTACGTCATGTCAACATTATAGTACATTACCTGGATCTTCCCAGTGACCTTTTGATCCCCTGGCTTGAGGTCACGAACAGGCTTGGAATAGGTCACTAACAGGGACTCCAAAGAGGTCACTGGGAAGCTTGCACACTGAGCTCTCACTGTGGCCCAGTCTTCCACGAGCTTCGTTCGTTTGAAACGTGATCCAAAGCCATGGAAACGTGATTTGTGCTATAACCCTTTATAAGGAAGTTTAACCTTAAGCAGCATAAAGAGGAAGGGGGTCCAAGTGCGAAGAACCAACCATTCGCAACCCTGGCCCCCGGGTCGCAGCCTCGGGGTTCGCTCCTGGACCCGTGGCGAGGCCAAGATTTGGGCGGTGCAGAATGCAACGACCCACTTCGGCACGGCGATGGGCTGAGATGGATACAGCAAGCGCAAGCTTTTACGTGGGGTGTGCACCGGTTTTCCCGGGAGCACTGCAGATCTGCTTGTATGGCAGTGGCGCTTGTAGAGGTGCAAGTACCGCAGTTTAAAACACCTGTACATCTGCTGTTTGTACATCTGCACATATCTGCACATACATGTTATTCTGTTCGATATATATATATATATAGATTTGTTGCTTCGTCCCAGATCTCATATGCTTTTGAAGGAGTGGCAGACCTATTGAGGTCAGGTGACCCATCCGCTTCCACTACCCTGCAACGGACAGTTTCCATGTTCAATCCAGGCCTTATCAACTATCATCCAACATCAAGAAACGCGACCGTTCCACCGGAAAATTCCACTTGGAACGACCTGGAGGTCGTCCAACTGGGAACCGCATCCCGTGGGTGCACGGGAACGGGTGGCACAGGAACGCTATGCGATCCTCCTGAAACCTGGCGTCCGGGTGCCCAGAGACTGGCAGAGACGGGATGTGGGAGGGGGGACCAAGAGCCACCTGCTCCACCTGGATGGATGGTTTGGCCTTTTTGGAGGACAGAAGGTGTTTATGCAGGAAGCCAGTCGATGGGAGATCCAGTGAGCCACTTTGGGGATCCCGACCGTTTCGATTTCGTGGACCTTTCCGAAAATTTCACCAGACAAATTTGAACGAACAGAACAATGCATGCCTGGGCCATGCAGCTAGATTGATTGGGTGAACAGAGCATCTCAAGACCAGGCATGTGTTTCACACAAACATTGATTGACTCAGTCAAATGGCCGCCATATAGAGAACTTTTGCAGATATTTTTTTCATCGTTGGTCTGAGTTTTGGATTTTCAGATGATGGTTCGATTTCTGCCAGGATTATCCTCCACAGTTGCTCATCAACTTAGGCAGGGACCGCAGACGGCAATCACTTTGGGTTCGACACTAGCCAGTTCAGAGCTCTTCACAAGTCAAGGACCACTGAGCAATGTGTAAGAAAGGTTGCGATGTTTTGCGCTGTTCATGGCTGAAACGCCATGGGATTTCTGTTTGGCTCGGGTCTCGCCTCGCCGTTTTAGAGGAGAAATACGGCATTTTTCGCAGCGCTCGTATTGAAGAAGCAACAGCTTCCCACGGAGTGTGGGTTCTGCTCAAAATGACTTTGAAGACCAATGAGGAAGTGTCTTGAAGTCACATGGTCTTTGAGCCCAACGCCGGTGACACCACGATGAACATCTGCGTCTTCCAGTTCCTCGCCTGCGAAGTCCGTCCTGCCCAGGCTATTACACCAGCATCATCGGTGTGGGGGCCAATCCGGATGACGTTCGGTCGCCCAGAGCGCCCGAACGTGGCGGACGGCCCGGCCGTTTGCTCGCTTGCTCAACCGTGTGGCGAGCTAAACCCGATGGACCGTCTTTCGGAACCCGGGTACCCTACCCCAATGTAGTCGAATCTAATCGACATGGTCATCCAACGACCAGAATATGGTTGTGAAACAGATGACCATGCGATATATGCCGCCCCAGCCAGACCCCCAGTCAACCATCCCTGGCCGTTTCTCGGCAGTCCTATGGCAGTCCCATGGGTCGTGTCTGGGGTACGTATCAACGCTGATGATCATGTCATGAAAAAGTCAGGAATTCCCAGGGCCGTGAATGCAGGATGCCAACAACTCTGCGGGAGGGGTACCACGGTACCCAAAGGGGAGTGACCGTGAGTAAGAGCAAGTCGTCAGAGTAAGAACATGCCCTATAATGTTTAGTCTAAATGAACCATCACACGAGTTTGGAGCTTCTGCGGAACACAACTTATTTTTTGTTTTTCCAGACACGATCCACCAAGTCGCTTCATGGCCTTTGTTTACGGCGTTTCTTCTACCTGCTATGACCGGAGCTTTGTTCGTCCCGGACCTGTTCGTACCACCACACGCTCCGCTCATGACGTGCTCCACCGGGACCCCCCGTTCCCAACCCGCTCCTGACTCCCCGCTCCCTCCGAAAAGAGGTGAAGATCCCCGATCTGTGGGTGTCCAACGACATCACCGGCCAGGTCCGGACGACGTCGCGACGTTCCGGGTGCGAGTGGAGCGTGGAGGTGGTGCCAGGAATCCTTCACGGTCCGGGAGGATGGAAGAAATCCACTAAGAATCATCCATGAAAAAGCAACAGAAAACACACATACCAGAGATGGCCGCTTCCGGATTCACTTCGGCTCGATCAGATTCGATCAACATTGAGGATCTTAAGAGCCCGAGTGATGCGAGCCGCGAAGGGGCTGAGGATGTGTCTCGGATTTTGTGCGAGCGGGCACCTTCTGATGCAAGTGGAGCATGGCTGACTCAGATGGGCAACTTCTTGGCTGTATGACATGAGAGGAGCGCAGCGGCGCAGATGTTAGCCTGAGATTAAAAGAAGCCTTTCGCAAGGCTGATACAGCTCTTTTGAATCATTTACCAGCAAGACAAGGCTGGGGTCTCAAAATACCTTCTCTCCTTGGGCATATGAGTGCCTATGTCGCCCTGCAAGATGGACTGTCGAGCTTGCTGTTGCTCTTGTTGACGAGCATTGGGCTCTTTAGAAGTCATGACCAAAGACCACTGGCGCCAGGTGAGTCAGGGTAAGGGCGCCCGCGAACGGCTGGAAGGCGTCAACGTCCGTCTGCGGGCGGACGTGGCGGAGTCTCCTTGCAGCCAGGTCTGTGACGTCTTCGCCTTCACTTCGCGCTCTTCAATGGTTGATCTAGCTGAATGGACAATCCCTGGACTTCTCCTGAGTAATCTCAATCATTTTGATCCGAAAGCTCTGGAACACATTCTTTTCTGCCGGCAGTTGAATCCCTGGTTGATTCAGCAGTCGCTCCAGCTGCTGCCTGTGAAAAAGAATGTGTTCCTGAAGCAAGCACAGGTTTGAGGAAAAACACTTACACTCTGAGTGCACAGGTAGTTGTCTTCCGGGTAGACTTGTCAGTGATCTCCTCACTTTGAGGGAAGGTCTCTGTGAAAGGGCTGGAAGATCTTCTATGTGACTAAGCGAAGTACAAGCAGAATCAGAGCAAGTATACAGAGTCCACCGCATGACCATATTATGATATATCATAGAGATGACAATCTGTGTCAATTGAACAACTGCATGTTGGAAAATGAGTGACTCGACTGCTTGGGCTGGCTTGCCCACTCCTCTTGAGGGGTCACAGTTCTGTGGTCTCTTGGCAGACCAGTGCTCCAAGACCCAGTTGCAGTTGATCAACCTTCCCTATGCGCGCTGCTCTCTTTTTTCCGTGCTCTATTTTTTTGCGGGTTGTTTCATGCTTGGGGCACCAACCAGACCCCCTGAAGACACAAAAAGAACATCAAAAAGAAGAGAGTGCTTGGAATGTTGAGCACCCATGTCATCGTTTGGCGTCCTTTTTCTCGCACTCACCGTGGGTCCCGGCCTCCTTCTCCGCCCTTCGCGGCCGTGGAGGCCACAAACAACTTCTGGCGCTCGGTGGAGGGCGTCACCGTCACTGGCCCCCGCCGCTGGGCGACGACGACCGTCCCTTCGCGTTGTTCCGCCGATCGCCGGGCGGAGCAACGGGCGGGCGACGCCGACGGAAATACGGCTCCCTTGAGCGCGATTTGGAGCGCTATAGGGCACTGGTTTGCCTTCGCAGTTTCCAACAGGTGGTCCTGAGATGGTGATCATCTCCCTTGTTTGCCTTGTGGTGGTTGGGGATCTCCTTCTCGAATGGTTCCCCTGAGCTTTCCGGCGAATGAGCGGTGCTGCCGAGCTTTTCTTCACCAAGCTGAGATATGGCAGTGGGGCAACACATCCAAAACCTGGGGCCTCCAAAGGAGGGTAGGTTGACCTCCCAAGGTAGTCTATTATTCTGTTCATTTTGGGTGGTCAACCAAGAACCAAGGTCCTCCGGGGGCCTGAGTCCAGGGGATTGACTGATTGACCAAGCTGAAGATGTTTCGATTCTTGGTTTGGTATTGCTTGTTGAAGAATACTTCTTCAACAGAACACCAGCTTATATAGAGTTCATCGAATTCATTAAGATGATCTTCATGAACATGTTCACGTGGCATTGAAGGCTTGGCTTTGGTCTTTCGCATGCATGATCTTCCGAACCCCTGGCGTTCCCGATCCAGCCGAACCTGCCGCGGCCGCCCTGGTCGGCCGTCTCTTCGCCGGGTTTTCCTCGGTTGAGGCACCATGTGGGCCGTGTCCCAGGCGGGAGGAGAAGCCCGCGCTCTCTCGAACGGATGGAATTGGATTTGTGTCTGAGATTGGTTTGCGGGGGATGGTGTATTTTTGAGGGATCTGGTTGAACATGGTATGCAGCTGCTTCTTTTTGGGGCAGCTCCTCCCATCCAGCTGGATGGGAGGAGCTGCCATTGATCGGCAAACAGGCTTTGGCTTGATGCTGGCACTCACAAACACCTACGAAGTTCGGGAACTAAGCTAAAAACACACGCCACATCTTCCCCCTTTCTGAGAGAAAGCACCCTCCTCCCTTCTATCAGACATCAACGGGGGGGGGGAGGAAACCTCCTCAACCGGCCCCGTTCTTCCCATCGAAGGCGTCGCCCCTGCGGCGGTCCATCATCTCGGGGGAGCTCTGGTTGTCCCACGAGGCCCAAGCCTCGCCGTTCGCTGCGCTCGAGCGGTCGTGAGTTAGAATAGAAGGTGTTTGGTGAGATTTGGTGAGGGAAGGGTCATGGTTCGTTTCCAATTTCTGGCCTCTTTTTCCACCGATGAAACCACCGCCTTGGCAAAATGCACCAGTCCACAGGAAGGCTACTCGAGCGGCGGCTTCATCAGCGACGTTCAGGCCAGGGGACCTGCTGCGAGGAACCCAGCGATTTCTGCACCGCCTCGTTGCGGCACCAGCAAGCGGGTTTACGGGGTAGCGCCTGGGTTTCACGGGGTTCATCGGCTTCGCCCGAGGCCTATCTTTTTAGGCCTTTTCGTGTCAGAACGAGCGGCTTCATAAATGGTCATGGGCTGGAAGGTTCTCTTCACCTCTTCACTGACCCAACAACGAACTTGCTGAAAAACAGCGGCTGATACTCACAGCGGTTTGAATGAACTTCGAACTCTTCCCACCAAGTCTAGGGCGCATGAGAGTCTGCTAGAGTCCTAAGGTGCGAAGCATGGATGCAGGTCCATCGTTGTCCAGATGGTTTCGGAGGTCAACTTGAGCAGATTGGATGAACCAATACGGCCTGGACACCGGCCCGCAGGGTGAAGGTGCTCGGAAGGTGTTCGGAAGAGGTGATGTTTGGGACAGCTCAGTGGCGCCGATCGACGTTTCTTCGGGATCCCCAAGTCCCGAAGGGCCTGGAGATGGCTTGGTCTACTAGCGATGGCCTCCAACCTACTAGCGATGGCCTCCTGCTTGAGCTTTGAACAGACCCATCGGCACCTGCTCGGTGTGTCACTCAGCCACTTTCAGCGATCGGTCGTTCCTGACTTTTCGGCGATCATCCCGTCTCGCCAGATCGGAAAGAAGCTGGTCATGGGCACGCAACAGCAGTGGTTCTTCCGGCAGATCACTTTTCCCACCGAAGGAGCCACCGGTCAGAAGTGTTAGGGGGAAGTGATATTATATTATGTGTATATATATATATATATATGGTACCCCCCTCAAATGTCTACCTCTTTTGGTTTGTTAGCATTTTTTTTAAAAGAAGAAATTGGGAATGACTACCACGTATATACACCGTGCCAATACCAACGCAGAAGTCTTGAGAAGAGAGCAAATCTTCACATCTCCAGCAACGAACTTGGAAGTAAAATAGTGCCCATTCAAGACACTTTGAAGACTCGTCGAATTGCTTTAGCTGGTCGAATTCTTCGGCAAAATAATGAACATCCTATGAGGATGGTAAGTTTCAAAAATGACTCGGCCTCTCCGATCGAAGTATTATTCAGACGGGTTGGCAGGCCACGAAAACAGTGGACCTACAATACCTTGGCTTTGATTTGGAACCAAATCCGCCAAACCGATGCTGAATTTAACAACTCTCGAGAGCAGCTGGTTCAAATCCTCGACGCAGCCAACAGAGAACGACTTTGAACACCGCCTTTACCAGGTTGACACCTGGACTTCGAAACTAAATCGACTTTCGCACTTGCACTTTTCCTATGCCATCCAGTTCCTGTACTGACGGGCATGAGGGGCGCCTACGGGTATGGCATTTGCTTAGTTGACATTGTTTCACACATCCTTCTCACCCCCATACCTATGGCACGCAAGAGTACCATATATAACATCAGTATGCACATCAGTATGCACATATGAGTGCAGTACCCCATGACATGTACAGGACGCCTCCTCGATGTGAGTGAGAATTGTTTGGTGGATGCCAGGTACAGGGCTGCCAAATTTGTCAGGAACCAATGCCGCATCGTTTTAGTCTTGAACAATGAACGGAATAAAGCCAAAGAGCCTGAAGAGAAGCTCTCGCCAACCATTACATGGGAAGAGTTCAAGGAGATGTTCTTGGTGCCAGTGCCCGAAAGACACACACCTAATGGCCATCTTGAAGCGGACGGTTGTCATCATACCTGGTCAAAAGGCAGTCTACGTTCATCTCGCCAGTGAGCACATCACAGAACCTATTCATCGATTCTGTGGGGGTGGCAATTACTGAAGATTGGCTTCAGGATTAGCACAAGGGTACTATGGCCTTTACAAGCACGGGTGTCACAAAAAGCTTGTTGACTATGACACAAAGCTTGATGAGGAGCAAGCCCTTCTCGCAAAGCTCTTGGCTTCTCCAGAAGAGAAACAGTACCTCCTACGGGGGTGACACATTGTTGGCGACAGGAAGCTGCTCCCACAACTCCTCCGACTTCTTCACGACCTGCTCCTACGCCTCCACCGCCTTCTTCACCGTCTGCATCTGGTGTCGTTCATCTGAAGGAGGAAATCACTTCACCGCTGCAGAAAGTTCCACGCACTGGCTTCGGAGTCATTGATGTCGAGGAGGACAATGTCATGGACGACATGACTGTCATGAATGAAGGAGCTGAAGAGTATGAGCCTGATCCGTTCAACCATGGGTCTCACATTGGTTAGATGTCATCTGGTTCAGTTTTGATGAACTCTGAGAGCTTAGACATGACATAGATACTGTAGATTGTGCTTGTGTCTCTGTGGCACAGCTGCTTGGAGAAGATGCAGCGGTGAACAAAACAACGTCTGCATGGTCTTTATCTCTGTGTGTTTTGAGAAAAGATAGCTAGTACATGCTAGGACTCTTCATCCCTGAGCATGTCTGTCTGTTGCCTTTGTGCTCTGCTTGGCAGTGGCCTCGGCAATGTCGAAGAGACCTGCTAGAAAGAAGAGCTCTCCAAGTGAAGTGGGATTTGACGTTCCAACGCGGCTCCAAGATGCAACTTCACAGAAGGACCTGCTCAAGCTTCGCAAAACAACCTTGATGCTCATGAGGCGGCTGCAATTGACATGGGCTTGCATTCTGAGTAGGCGCCCCTGCCTCGTGACAATTTGGTCATGAGAAACGTGCGTCTAAACAAATATAGTTCGGGTCCAAAACGTGTGCTTGCGTTGCGCATGCAGCTTTCTTGCGTCGTCTGCAAACTTCTGATTGACATGACATGCTGTGTCAGTGACCTATAGTTCGAAAGCCTTTTGCTTTACATGGTTGAAGAATGATCACGCATGTCTGCCGCCTCATGTAACATGACCATGTGCTTCTGTGAGTCTTGCCTCAAGTTGCTCAGCCTGTTTCGGCAGCCCCTCATGGCGCCTAAGTTCAATCCATTCCCCGAAGAAAGGCGAGGGGTGGATGATTGCCGAGCACCCCGCCTCAACCAAAAAGATGTCCTGGGCAAACGCGCGCTGTGTCAGAGGTATAAGAGCTGTGGCTGGCAGAGGCGTTCGCGTGGAGAAATCACATTGGGCCCGTGATGTTCCAAAGCTTCTCAAAGCAAAGAATCTTGATTGCAGATGGTGTCCTTCCCGATGGGCAGGGAAGCAACGTCCGAAGTGCAGTTGTGGAACCCTCAGTTCTTTGCAGCTGCGCAAAGGGTCCGGCGACAGCTTTCCGAAGTGCCGGTGCAACGAGAAGGATTGCCAGAAGAGGCTTTTTGCACCCTTTGTTTCAACGCATGGGCCAGATGCATTGTCCCTTCAAACGCAATCATCTCTGCTACTGCTATTGCTTCTCCTTTTTGCGAGTACCTCAAGCGTCTATCCATCTTAGCTTGGGGATCAACCACAAGGTATGAACCACAAGGTCATTGATGATATCCGATGAGCTTGTCGCCGAAGAGGAGAAGAATATGTCTTGGGTGGCAAGAGCAGCGCATGGCATGATGTTGAGGGAGATGAAGCCACGTTAGACAAGCGAGATGTGTCCACTGACGAAGGCTGGCAAGGGCAGGTTCAGGACAAGAAGTGCATCTTGTGGGAGCAGTGGTCTGGTCTGGTGCAGGGTGGGAAACCGCGTACTCTCATCCTCAGTCAGCTCAAGCCATCTCTGACCACTCCACGCCTGATCTTGCTCGGGCTTACAAGCTCAAGTTGCCAGGAGTTTTGCGTGACTCCGTCGTCCACAAGAAAAAACGTGTCAAAGTCAATGGCAAACGGACAGCCCAACTTTGTCAAGGTGGTTAAGCGCAAACTTCCAACGGGCAAGTCGATCAAAGTGAAGGCTGGCGTGCAACACATAGATAGGGCATGGAAGTTTATTAAGGATCGCCTCGCCAGGTCCTAATTCAAGGGCGGGCATGAGAACCATCCGTGCGCAAATTCGTTCTGCTCATACGAGTATTGGCACCGTGGAGAGAACTTGTGGTCGTGTACCGGAGACTTAGTGCACGACTACATTTCGAAGTTGGTGACCGATTCGGGTTGGTTTGGTTCGGTTTTGCTGTGGCGGCTTCCTTGCTGCCGCCTTCCGCAGTTGGTCTCCGATTTGGCGTTCTGGTGGCCGACTCCTGGCGTCCGATTTGGACGCCACCCACCCTCCTGGAAGGACCCTCAAATCCCTATCTCGAGGGACCCAAGGGTTGTTTGGAGCATCTGGGTGACTGAAAATATGTTGGTTTTGCAGGACTTTGGTGCTGGCAAGGGTGGAACTACGTCTTCATGGGAGACGCTTGGAGCAAAGCACATGTCGTTCTGGGCCGAGTTTGGTCTGCGTCAAAAATCGCGGCTCCGCGATTGGCATCTCGACCGAGATCGGGTCGAAGACCGGGTCGAGTAGGCACTGAGTCAAACTCAGAAAGGTGTTCTGCCAGCACCAAAAAATGGAGGGTGATTGGGCGGGCGTCTCTACTATAAACCACCCTTAAGGGGTGATACTGGAGTATTCCCACGTTTTGACCAGATCTCACCCAATTCTTTGGCGGTCAATCAATCTTTATCGGCTAGTCAGTCAAATCTTTTTCAGACATCTCGAAAAAAGGACACCATTCAAACCATCTCTGTCCAACGGCTCTCAACGACACCGTCAGGAAGTCTGATTATCGATTTGGTGTTCGCTCTCACCGGTTCAAGGCTTCGCACCTTTTTCCATGTCAGTCCCTCTCGGTCGCATGACGACATGGTAAATGTACTGATGAAGACCTTCGTCCCAAGTCGCACAGCGAGTGATGGTCTCGCGCGGCGAACATCTTGGGTCCCAAGTCGTCCGCCGAAGTCATGTTCGCTCAAACCAACTTGGAGCCGAACCCATGAAGTCCCGAAAACGTGAAGAACTCGAACTGCAACCCTTGTTCCTTTAAGGCCCTCGAGTGGTGTTTGGTCGATTATTTTTCTCCGTTGTCGGCCACACCGGCCGACAGTTCAGAAGTTCGAAAAAGAGTTTAATCTGATTTGTTCCCATCGAGTTGGTGAAAACCCTTGAGAAAGGTCTGAAGAACCCCCCAAGCACCCCTCCTTTGGGGCGCGCCCCATTTTCCAAAAAGAAACTCATTCAGAAGGACGGGACCGTTTGAGACGCGAGAACCGTTCGCTTGGTCTCCAAGTCCATGTCCGCTCCAAAGGCCTTGGGCTTGGATGACGCCTCGGTGCAGAAGTGTAACACGGCGCGGGTCCACGCCCACGCCGGCGGACGCCGGGGGGTGCGATGCCGCGGTGTTTTCTGGACGCAGTTGGGGCGAAGGTGGAGATTCTCCATACAATTTTTGGGTGTGGAAAGATCAGATGTCTGAAAAGGATGCATCTCTTTGGAGAACTCCAGACCGGTTGCTACGTCTGGTTGCTACGTCGGACGTCCTTTTTCATGGCAAACATACGGTACCACCGCATCAAATGTCGTCGTCCACCCTCTTGCTTCGCCCGTCGTCAGCGTCGTCGTCTGCGCGCCCGTCGTCAGGGGATGCCCCACAAGATTTCGCAGATGGACCGAACAGCGCGTGGGGGGCCCCTGGCTTCGCCGCGGTGGGGCACCGGGAATGGTGAAAGGGATCGGGTGCGGGGAAAAGGCTGGTGCTGAAATTGGTGGTGTAGCAGTGTAGCTGTAGATGTAAAAGGGACACCAGATGTAGCATGTGAAAGCACTGGTCAAGACAGGGAATCCACAGGGGAAACGATCTGAAGCCACGTGAATTTCGTGATTGAGAGGCGCCAGAAGCCAGTCACCAGGCTTTCTTGTCCCTTTCAGGTTCGGCCGAGAAGCCCTACTTGGTCCTGGAGGCCGTTCTTTTTTCGCCCGGCTTTCGCTACATCAACGCACCGGAAACCGAACGACCGGGGGTCCCTTTTCTTTCACGTTTCGACTCCGAGTGGAGAGCAACTTGGGAAGTTTGAGAGCAAGACCGGAGCGTTAAAACGCTATGGCAGTACGGCACCGCAAGTTGAAAAGCATATGTTTGGTCTCGGTAGTGGCAAACTATTCTGCGCACGCGCCTGAACGCGACATCTATGTCTATCGACGTGCCTTCTGAGAAAAAGGTATATAAGCGGAATTCCAAAGCCAATCCGCCTATGACAAATGGCCTCCAGTTTCTTTTGAACCTCCTGTCCGCCAATGGAGAACCCTGTAAAGACAGCACTCTTCCAAGCTGGTCATACATTGTCATACCTCACCAGGCCATGGCACGCCCCACCCTGACCTCTTTGGTGCGCTCTGGGGGCGTCAGGATGATGGCCGCTGGATGATGTACATCCCCGGCATCGTCCACCAGCCGGCACCCGGTGCGCTGCTGGCCGCTCGCCAGAAACTTCCGGAGTGGACTCCGGGCGGTGTTCCGCCGCTGGGCAGAGCTTGAACGTGCCACACATTGAATTGATCACCCCTTTGCAGAAGACGTTCATCAACTTGGGAAACCAGCCTTTTGCTGCTAGAAGAATGACTCATTAGCAGATCATAGCATAGCAGTGGCAGTATGTGCCTCTTGATTGGGCACCCCTTGGATGGTCCAGGTATGAATACATATATATATATAGATATATATATATAGATAAATTATATATATAGATATCTAGAATACATATATTATATACACCAACTGTATCTAACTGTACTGTATATCTCCAATGTTTGTGCTACATAGGACGTTGGGGGCGACAGGGGAAGCTGAAGGCAGACTCCATTGGAGGCTTTCAGGGAACTCCAGAGTGGACTGTTGGGCGACGGGAACTCTTGGTTCAAATGGATGGTGGCTTAGTTCTACATTTGTAAACCGATCCTTTTTCAACCCAATGCGACATGGATTCCTTTGTTTCTTCAGGATCACAACCCGGCTTACAAGCTGACCATGGACCAGGCGTTGGAACGACCAGTGTGCGCTTCGGGGACGATCGCTTCAGTGTGCGCGTGATCGGCGGTGAGTTCGCCCGTTTTTTGTCCCATCCGCACAGGGTCGAATCGCTATGCCCTTCTCCATGGCACATGGTCGAACAATGACCCATGAGAAAAGGAGACAAAAGGATCCTTCACGCGGAGGATTTGGAACAAGTTCTCTCACTTCTGCCTCACTGATCCCACTCCAACTTCTGGTTTCGGTGGACCCTGAAACGGCAGAGGGGTCAGATCCAATCGGACATCGCTGTGTGGATAGACTGGATAGAACAATGCATGCCTTGAAGGACACCCAGATACTGGGTTGTTGAGGCAAGTCGTATCTTCGTTTTAATTCGTATCTTTTGAGCGTTTGCCTCGCGGTGGGGCATCTTCTGCTTTTGACTTCTTGATGATCTTGTAAGATCCCTTACATAAGAGTCAGAACATTGACATTCTCACTATCTGTGACCATCCAGCCGCTGGCGTTGAAAGTCAGAACCTCCAACCATCCAATGTTGGGGTCTATCTCGATTTTTTTCTGGCCTGTCGTGCCCCAGCCTTTTGCAGTTCCGTTTGTAACGGTGGGACAGACCACCGAGTCATCCTGAGGCACACCGACCTCCGTCGAGGGAGACGAAACGGTGAAACACCGAGGTCGTCTCGGTCGAAGGACTGCTTCGTTCCATCGCAGAACGACCGCCCCGACTCGACGGTCCGACTCGAACGGCACCGACTCGACGGTCCGAGGTCGATACGGTATGTTCGACCTCCAACTCACGGAACAGTGCGCTGCTAAACGGCGAAACGACCATCACGTGCATCCCATGGTCGATTTTGACCTGGGAGGTCTTTGTAGCGGATCCTGAGATGAGCACTGAGACCATCGTCCAGGGCCTGCGCACCAAGGCGACGCGGAGAACGCGCCCCCGATGTTCCTTGATGATCATAAGGTACTTGGAACTTGGCACTTTGGTTCACAAGGTACTTGGTACTTTGGTTCACAAGGTCCCTGTGTTCCTTTGTCACTGAAACGACATCTTTGGCACTTTGGTTTCCTTTTCACGTTCGCGGCCCAGTCAGTAGGCCCAGTGACCCTGGGACCAGCCCTGCTTTCAGCGGCTGGTTTTGAAGTGAGTGAACAAGAACAGCCAGTTTCAACTGGGGTTCCGTGCGAGCCTCGCGCCTCGCGCCAGGAAGCCTGCCTGCTGACGCCTGGGGCGAGGGACTGAGGGAGTGAACGATCCGGAGAGCCGTACGACGAGCGGCCGGAGCGGCCCGGACGCGACGAACGGGGCGAACGGGCTTCTCTCCGAAAAGGTCTGGAAACAACGCACTGAAAACCGCTGGTGATGATTCGAAGGAACCTCCGCCCAACTCGCGCGCCACGCGCCTGACATCCGACAACGCACCGCGCCGAGATTTACTACCTCACGGAGCCGTTGGAGATCACCAAGGATCGCTTCGTCTTGCTGGGCATCGGCCTCTCGGTGTCGGGTTGTACTGGAGTGCCTGGGTGTGCCGAAGCATTTCAAGAGCATGATTTGGTGCCTGGTGCACATCATTAAGAGGAGCTAACGCTACAGAATCTACTGGAACCACGCAGATGCGATTCTATGATTGTAGTGGGGATATGGAGAGGAGCAGCATTCATCCATGGAGGGGGTCGGTCCCGGTGATTCAATGGTTCTTCTTCCAGCGCCAGAGTGACGATGATTTTGCTGTTTTGTGTTAATGGCGAATCGGCAAAGAGCTTGTTGGCCTGGAACAGTCTTTGGGAGTATTTGAGTAGAAGATTATTTATGACTGACCAACTGCACCTAGCTTAGGTAGATTCCTGTCGGAATAACTGTGTTTGGGTTGGCTGGGGTACGGAACGGCTTGCTACTTCTTAGACTCGGTGCTTTGTCTTTCTGACGTCTGATGCTGCATATCATAGCTTGCTTTTTCACCTTGAATAAGACTTGAGAAACAAGACAACTATCAAGGAACTCTACATGAAGAAAAGCCAAAAGAATCAAAGCAACCACGATTCATGCTACGGAGAAACAGCTTGTAAGCCGCGGTGAGCCCTTTGACTTGGCTCTTTGTGACATGGGGGCAGACCAATTTTCTATATTCAAACATGATGAAGATATATTTCAGATCAATAGGGTAGATATGGGGGGAAGGCGGGAAGGTGTGAAACTTGTTTACAGAGTGCTTTTGGCATTGGATCGAGTCGTTTTGGCTGCACTGGCATCAGAACTCGCTTTGGTCTTGTTCTCCACGCCTTTCGGAGCCGGAACCCAAAAGGGACACCCTTCACAGCCACACGGCTCTCCACACGGGCTCTCTCCTCGCTTCATCGGGTGTGGGTCCGGTCCCATTGGGCGTCCCCGAGGTTTTCCCACCTTGGTGAGTCCTCCGGGCATGTCCTGCATCAAGGCGAGCGAGTCACCGTCCGACGAGCGAGTCCGACCGGAGTGAGTCGACATCCCCTTTTTTGGGGCGAACGGATGCGAAAGGTCTACCTGTCGTGGAGGACGAGATAGGTCGTTTTGGGATGGTCAAACGGAGGTTCTATTCATCAACTCTTAGGTTTATACTGTACTTTGCTGATTTAGGGATACATACTGGTGTCATTTCAACTCATTCTCAACTTCGTCCTCTTTCTTCACTAAAAAACCGACCTTCTGACCATCTCACCCCAAATAGGGCATTGCAGACGACCTGATCGACTCCATTCCCCAGACACGACCTGTCTGGGCTGCCAGTTCGGACTGCCGCCCCAGCCAGACCCCCCAGTCAACCACCACCACCGGTCGGCCGTGCCACTCGGCAGTGCAGTCCCGGACGGGTCGTGCCTGTCGGTTTCATCTCCCGTCCCAGGTGCAGCAAGGCTTGAACGACGTGCGCCCGGAAAGCCCAGGAGACGGTGGAACACCGCTGCAGCAGACGGGACCGATGCCAGCCTTGAGGAGTCTGGACCCCCCTGAAGAGACTGGAACCCCCTGAAGAGTCTGGAACCCCAGAGTCAGCTGGCGAGTGAAGGGGATGAAAAGCAGTTGAGACCCTTGAGCACTCAGAGGTCGGTCGCTTTTCGACCCTTGGAGGAAGTGAAGGACTGAAGGACTTCCCATAGGTTTGAACAGAGTATTTGGCTCCAGATGACCATACGCTTCATAGTCTTTCTGAGGCGTTGCGAGCATCATCATGGACGCCAACACTCCGGCGAGCCACGACTACACGCCTGGCCACGCAGGGGATTTGATCTTGGAGCATGTGAAGGGCGGCCATGAACACTTTCCTTTTTTACAGTTGGGGGCACCCTAACTGAGCAGGTTTTGACCTTTGCGACATTTCCATCATTTTGTAAAGGTGTCAAGATGCCTTCGAGTATGGTGGCGTTGTTGAGAGCTGCCAGCCATGAATTGCGGTCAGTGCGGTCAGTCACCACGGAGATGGGCGAAACCCCTCTGCGCACTCACTCAAGAACTTTCTAGTTCCCTCGCTCACCTCACCTCACCTCACCTCACCTCACTCCCAAGTTGCTGTAGTTCCAACAGCGCTCTCGCCGCATTGGTCGTTCCGATCTTGGAACTGCAGGGCTTCGTCGCTTCGCCCCAGGGAGCCGCTGCTGCAGTGGGGTGATGGGACGTCCCACTGGTCCCAGGTGGCTGGAGTGGTGCCATGGATGGAGTTTGGCCGATGTGTGGGGGCGATTGGGGCGGATTCGACATATATATATTATATAATTACATATAATTACATAACATATATATAACATATATCTCCTTTCTTTTGAACAAAGTAGCTGGCTTTCAGAGGTGAAAGTTCGTTGGCTTGTTCGGTGCTGGCCCAAGAAGTTCGGTGAAAGGAAGGAGCAAGGATAGCAAGGGGATGCAAGGGGGAAGGGAGAACAGGTGCCTAGAGTGGCTGGATGAAGCCGAAATGGCTGGATCAGATGGAAGAAGAACGAGCAGTTCAGAACACACGAGAGGTGAGATGTGAAGATCCTTAGTAACCTAGGGGCTATACCTGCAGTTGGGTCGAGTTTCTAAAGGGGTGCAGTTTGGTCAGTTTGCTCGAGATGGGCCTTTGGGCTCGGAGTCGGAGCTCTTCTTTTCGCATCACTTGACCCGGTGGGTCCTCTTCTGTGGGTGAAAGACCTTGGCAGCATCTTCTGAAGACCTTGGGACTCCCAACCACTGACCAGGCTCAAGACTTCATGGGACTCAGGTGACCGGTGCCGGGTTTCTATTCAAACGATCCTTTTCTATCAACACTTGGTTCATCAACCAAAGTGTAGGAGACATACAACCGAGATACGGCCCGATGACCACCCTTCCAGATGCACACGAAGCTGGGGGGCCACGTCGGACGCCTTCGACCCGAGGCGTCCGACATCGTGGCGCGCGTGGGTGCCTTCGGCTACCTGAACTGCGAGCTGAAACGTGGGGGATCCGAAAGAGGGGCGACGCGCCGGAGGGAGGTGGTGTATCCACGAGTTTGGGTGCTGCGCCCAACCTGGGCGAAGAACGACCCAGGGTCAATCAAGCCGGACCGAAAGAGCGGTTTTGGACGCACTGACCATCATTCATGCCAACTAAGCTGTTTGGCGTCTATATGCGTCTATGCTGGTAGTATACAACAACCTTTTTTCTGCCCAATGTGGGGCGGTTGCATTTTGTAGATCTTTCGGCCTGGAGAGGGTTTTACAGCTCCGAGTGGGGAGGGGTCACAGTATTCAACAGTTGACAGAATCACAGCATTCAACGTGCACGGATTTTGAACCTGTGAGTATCAGTATTGATTCTCTTCTCATGTGAGAAAAAAAGACCAAACGACTCATGAAACGCATACGTAACAGTCCACAGTCACCCGCGGGACGGCACGTGTTGACCAAGTGGGTGGTGTCTTTTTGGGTAGACCTTTCTGTACAGGGTGATTGCAGGAGTGGGACTGAGGTAGTCCACCAGAGGTCCTTCCACTCAAATGGCTTGGTATTAAGGAGTTATATAATAGTTTCTCTAGAAATCTAAGAACCAAATCATTTGTGCGAGCGCTTCTTCAAGGAAGCTCCCCCCCTCAGGCGGAATAAAGCTTCCTTGAAGAAGTGTGAGCGATCCAGCGTCCAGTAGCTATTCGCTTAATGAAGCAGCGTCCAGAGCTTACTCCTCCCTTACTTCGGACCAGCGCCTGTTTCATCAAGTAAGGGTGTGCTTAAGAAAGCAGACCAGCGCCGCACTTGTCCCCGGTCCCTGGTCCAGGTTGCCGGTCCTTCTCCGGTCGACCCGACGGAGGCGCCGACACGTTGGTCGAGTTCAACGCGGATGACCTCATCGTCGACAACGCCCGGGGGGCGCGATGAAACGAAACGGGGGCGGTGGGGTCCTTGTTTTAGACCCATTTGTTCTGGAGCAAGGCGATGTGGTTTGTTCGGTGGCTTTCGAATTCGTTTATAGAAGAGATACCTCATAAGTATTCACAAGTGGGTTTCAACAAGTTAAGTCTACTTGGCTTGTGCGTCATGTTTGGGCATGCTTCAATCAAGGATCAACATTACATGAGCATGATCTACCCGTGCCACTCTCCTTGAAGACTCATGCAGAGGTATTTTCGAAAGACCCAAGCTCTTCATCTGCACAACAATCATGCCCGAGACTGCGGATGGGCATCGAAACGGACCTCTTCCCAGACCTGACTCAGAGACCTCTTCCCAAGGTGTGGGTCTGGCATGCGGACCACGACGATTGTTCAGACTTCACCATGGTGTGAGCCTTAGAAAGGCGTTGAGAAGTCGGCTCGATTTCAAATTTGACTCCAGAGGGTGGCAGTACACTCCCGAAAACTAACATGGACCCTGAAAACAACTGGTTGGTAGAGGAAGACAATGTTCCAGGGGCCATTGTCGGGGTCTATGTTAGTTTTCGGGAGTGTAGATTAAGGGATTGATGACCACAAAGTATTCAGAAAGAAGTCCATTCCCGTTGCAGTTTCCACTGGGTTGTGGGATTCTGCTCTCCTAATGGTTCGGGCCTGCTCAGGGTTGAGTAGAAACATTCGACTTGAATCAGTTGCTTGTACATGTTTGTTCGGAGATTCCCGAATTCTGGGCCCACAGATCTTTCATTATGTGACCCCCGATGCGCAAGGGACCCATTTTGCGATGCGCAAGTGACCCTCCTGCCATTACACACTATATAAAACACCTGTTTTCCATCCAGGTGTTTCTTCTATTCGATCGCATGGCACATGCCGGATCGATTGCCCAGCATGCCCCTCAAGGCACCACCGATCTTTACAATCGGAGTAAACAGTTTCTTTTCTTCGCAGAGAGTGTAGAAATCCTAAAGATTGTCGTCGCAAGTTGCTGGAAAGCGACAATGCCGGATTTCTTTGCTTGCCGTTTGAAACCTCGCACATTTATCTGTCGAACTCGAGTTCAAACCGCCATTCAGGCGGTTGACCTTTGTTGGCAGACCTGATCGGTTTTCGACGCGGCTGAGGCAAAGGGTGCCGACATGATGGATTACAAGTTTCAATCCGACCAGCTCCTCGGCTCCTGCAGTGCAGGGTGCTTTGGTGTTTTTGCGTGGCCAAGTCCGCCAGGGTCCGCCCATTCCCCGGGCGCAGCTCCGGCGACCGAAGAGATTCTAAGAGAAGACTTTTAGATACTTTTCGGAAACCCGACAGTATCACCCGAATCCATCAGAGATGTATATAATACTAACCATCATCATCCACTGATACTGGTCATAGGATAGACCGAATATACACGACATGTATAATATCTGTAATTATCTGTATATATGTGTAATATCACCAGAGATGGACGCCTGCAAGCCGTTGAGTTCGCGGCTTCGCGTATCGCGGCTTCGACGCGTCCGAGGTGCCAAAGTACGCATGGGATCGTGGTGAATGGGCTGGGTGTCTCAGCCGTCGCCTGCGACAGTCTACCGCATGTGTCTTGTACAATATATGTATACGTATGTTCTTCTGACCTGTATTTGCGGGCTGCCCTGCCTGGCAGTGGTATGTGTACGTATGTTCTTTTTGCTTGGGCTCGGTTGTTTGGGGTCAAACGTTGACTGGTAGGCTGGCCTCCAAGTCCAAGTCAGCGATCCTCGAAGCCAAAGATCACACTCAGCCCCAACCAGAAACAATTGTACCTAGTCCAGTTCGACGATATTTTGACCTGAAGTAAAGGAAGTTCCCGAAATCAGGTCCCCTAGTCAGACCATTCTTTTTTGTAGTCTTTGACTCCCAGGGTACATACTGGCAGCGTTACATCTTGTTCCCCAAACAGTTTACTGTTAGGGGTTCTCAATGCTTTAAAGAATGGTCGCCTTGGTGCTGGATGGTCTGGTCGGGTTCCCGGCCGGCTTGTCTCCCACTTCCTTTTATTTGTCTCCCACTTCTTTTCATTTGTCTCCCAAGCTCGGTGCTTGTGGTCGGGTTCGCGGCTGGCTTGTCTCCCACTTCCTTTCATTTGTCTCCCACTTCTTTTCATTTGTC